TGCTGCTGTGCATCGGCTTTGGTCTGTCCATATTGACAACCATTGGTGAGCACATAGTGTACAGGCTGCTGCTACCACGAATCAAGAACAAATCTAGGCTGCAATACTGGCTCCACACCAGTCAGGTAAGTGCCCCAGGCGTCTTGTTCCAATATTCTTAAACGTCAGAATTTCGAGTAATGGGGGAATGCAGAGCCCCAAGTTAGACAAATAACAAGTTACCAAGAGATCTAGGGTGGTGCAGATACTCTCAATGTAAAAGACAGAGTTCTCTGTCTCCTATTAATTCATTTCCCCTTAAATTAAGCTATCCCATAATGCCCCTTCCTTTCATACAACCCTCCACTGCTGCTCACAATGGAAGCAATAAAATTGTTTTTAACCTGGTTTCACTTAATAGTGACAATCTGAAGAGATGGTATTAAAGATTTGTTTCCTATAGATTCTTTTCATGCCAAAATTGAAATCCATTAAATGAGTTTGAAGTTCCTGCATCCCTTTAGATGAACCCACCAGCTTGTTTTCAATGGTCCAGAAAATGGGGCCGTTTTTGCCCCACTCATCTGTTATGTTGACCTCTCCGTTTTGTTACCACAGTGCTTTTTTTTCCAGGTAGGTTACTGTCATTGGCTGGGTTACACTTGAACCCTGTTTTTTCTACTTTCAACCTACAAAGTATTTGGTTTCCTAAGGAGACCTCCCACAGACTACTGATTTTCTCCGTTGTATGTTAACGTGGATTGGTTTCTTTCTCAGGAGTTCTTCTTCTCTTATTTGTTTTGGCTGCTAAGAAGTTCAGACTTAAGTTTTTTACTCACCTTTAGCAATTACACAAGGCTCTTTGCTGCACATGAGTTATGCTCGCTCTACTTTGCATCACATACCTTTTTACAACACAGAGCATTTCTAAGCTTCTTATGAAATTTTTTTGTTTCCTCTGGGTAGAATAATAACTGATAATTAGAATTCTTGTTCTCTTGAGATTTGGGACTGAATGGTGATTTGTGTTCAGGCATCCCTGGAAATTTATTTAAAGAGGCCAAGGTTTGCAGCGACAAGATACCCTGTTAAATCCCGGGCGGTACTTTGTCCCTGACTGTGTGTTTCTAATAATCTCTATGTGTGAATCTGTTCTTTCCACCAGAGATTACATAGAGCACTGAACACATCATTTGTAGAGGAAAAGCAGCCCCGCTTCAAGACTAAGCGTGTGGAAAAGAGGTAAGAAGGGGCCATTGCCAGATTTCTTCAGATTCATTAATATAAAAGTTTAGAGATGGAACCAAGACTCTGTGCTGAAAAGGGGAATTACGTATAAATAATTCAGATCAAATTAGCACCAAGTTGCTGATAAACACAATCAGTAAAATTAGATGTGGTTTCAAATAGAAATAGAACAGAGAAAAACCATATTGGTACATATATGAACGCTGAAACGCAGTACTGGCATATGTCGTCACTAACAGTGCAGACATGGTTTCCAGAGTCAAGCGGCTGGATCCAAACCCTGTCCCTGACATTTACAATATGGGTGTCCGTGGGCAAGTTATTGATTTCACCCCTCCATGCCTCACTTGTTTGTGACATGGAGGTACAAAGAGTACCCACTTCCTAGAGATGCTGTAAGGATTAAATGAGATAATACATGTAAAGCCCTGAAAACAAAGCTATTTTAGCAATTACTCTTGTGTACCAAACACACGTCAGACTTAATTCATGAATACTGCAGGTCATTACCTTCATGTGATATGGGCCTCTTTGGCATGTTTCCACGCCCCACTCCATTTGAGCACTCCTAGGAAGAGCTGAAATCTGCAACAGATGTGTTCTGCCTAATCCATTTCCTGGCACTCTTCCTACAAACTCCCCAGAAAGGCGCGTCTCATTAACAAGAAGAAGCAAGCATTAAATGCATAGATGACATTGGAAAATTGAAACTTC